TAGGGAAGTACTGCAGAACAAAGGCTCAGCTCAGTTCCTCCTAACTGGATTCGCAGATCCTTCTTGTGGCCGAGGGGAAGGCATAGCGCTGCTGAAACGCGGCAGCAGAAGCCGCAGCAGCGCCAGCAATCCCCTTGTCGTGCAGCAGCCGCTTAGGCGGCATGCAGCGGGAGGCATAGCTGGCACAGTTGATGATCTCCGAAAACTCGGAATGATGGAGCTCAGGGCCAGACTACTTCAGTACGGACTCAGCGACGCAGTCATCCGGACATTACCCAGGTAAAAATCCTCGCCTGCTGTCAGTGCTGGTGCTGCTGCTGCTGCTGCTGTATTTGTGGATGTTGATGCGAGTGTAGCTGCTGCAGCAGCTGCGGCTGAAATTGCTGCTCCTACAATTGTAACCATAGAAGCAGCAGTAGTACTTGGTTCACTGCCTCTTCTTGTTTTCCCCCGCACGTGTAGCTTGCCTGCATGCAGGCAGGCAGGCAGCCTGGATAAGCAGCACAACTCATGCATGCATGCATACAGACGCTTATGGATGCATAAAGGCTTGCATGCACACATGCATACATGCATATCTGCATGCATGCACACCTGCACTCTACCTAGGCAATACAACGCATGCATGCATGCCTGCATATATGCATCCGTGCATGCATGCGTGCGTGCTTTGGGGCTGTCTAGGTGGGATCAAGTTGCGTTGGTGCGGCAGTATCGCGATGGGTTCGGGGCTGAGGACGGCAGCAGCAAAGGGAGGGGCGCCGGGGTTCGATTGCCTACAGAGGAATACGAAGCAAAACTATGCAGCATTTTGAAGCGACAGCAGGCTGCCTTGCGGGCGGATGAGCCCGTGGTTACTGACACGGATGATGATATGCCGCCGTCCACGCCGCACCAATCACAGCAGCATCAGCTTGGCGCAGACGCAGCTGCTGCTGCGGGCGCTGCTGCCGCATCGGCAACTGGACAGCATCAGCAAGGCGGAACGGGAGAAGATGTCGCCGACGCCCTTTTTGCTGGCTGCGAGGATTCAGACCACGAGGTATAATCTTTTTTGGGTTATAGAGACAATTGCAGTTGCATGCAAAGTTTGTTTTCCCTGCTTAACTTATTTGTTACATTTGTTTAGGTTTTGTGTGTTCGGTTTTTTGTTTTGTTGAGTTCGCGATCGAGTGCATCCTGTGGGTCCTTTTTCGCGCTGCTTCATTTCTCCCCCTCTGCTTCTTCGTTTGTTTACCTGTTCAATGCTTTTTCT